TTACTTGGGGGGGATATATTACTTTGATAGAAGGAGGTCCGGCTTGTAACCCATCTCGGGCAAAATAGTACTGAAGACAACACAGCATTGTCAGGAACCACGGCAAGAAATATTTTAGCAAACAATGTGTCAGTAGAGCTCTATACACACAGATTTATTTCGACCTATTTTAACAAAAACTCAATTTTTGCCATCCTCAAAAATCCCGTCCATCAGGTATGGAAATCTGTCTCCGAAGCATGCATCTAAACTCGTCCACTTTCGTAGGCACATGTCCCGTAGCTTAACAACCGTCCGGGGAGGTTAAAATTGCTGTGTCAACAGCCATCACAAACAATCCCGTCAGCTTCAACCGTCCGGGGGGGGTTAAAATCGCTGTACACCCACCTCATCGGATCTTTGGTTTTCGCCAAACGAATCCCATCAGTTTAACTGTCCGGGGGGGTTAATATTGCTGTGCTGTGCTATATAGAACAGTATCAGTGACTAGGCACCAAACCAGTCCCGTCAGCTTGACAACCATCGGGGGGGNNGGGTTAAAATTGCTGTACACGTTTAAACTTTAGGCAACAGCCAAGAAAGTCCCGCCAGATTAACAATTGCCTGTAGGTTAACAAATTGCTGTGCTCCTGACCAATTTCTGCAGCCATCACTTAACAGCCGTCCGGAAGGGGTTAAAATTGCTGTGCTCCTCAGGCCTAAACGAAAAATTCGCTCAACGATGCCCAACGTCTAGCCAAAAGTCATGTCAAACAAATGAAATCAGTCATACATTTGATATGCACGATTTTTTAAGAAAATCTAATTGTAGTCTAAATTTTCATGGATTTCCTCAGAAATAAGTTATGCCGCTATATAAGCTGTCGAGATTCTGCTAACTAACAACACACCTTTCTAGAAGGCTTAGGCGCTTGCTGTGGGTTAATTTACATAAATTCCTGGGTAAGGAGGAGTCAGGGGGATCAGCTGCGATCAATAGGCATTTGAGATCTATGGATTTTGAGCCTTTGGATATGCCTTGCGCAAGATGAAAATTATCATTAGCTCGTAGTAATATTCGTATCCATCAAACTATCCAGATTGAACTTCAAATCAATCTTTACTAATCAGATGAATGAACCGACTTTGCGGATCATTTAATTGTTTGATTAGAAGCGCTGCTCCCATAGAACAAATGACGAGGGGAACAGTTACATGTTGGCCCGCCGGGTATCAAAGCTGCGCACAACTATCAATAGTCCACGCAATAAGGGACAATTCCACACTCAATTGTAATGAGATATCCCAATTGCTGATGAGTACTAAAGTTTAGCTACGACATTTCTCATCCCTAAGTGTACCACGTAGCCTCGGGAGCCTCCCCAAGCAGGTAATATCTGCCCTGTTCTCGGTTCTTGTAAGAAACAGGGTCATGTAGAGTATGAGTTCTAACGTCTCTCCAAAACCTATCCAGGCCAACCTTGGCGGCCGTGGCCCTCGATCCGGTCGCCTCAAAGACGCCGGCCGTGACCCGGAGGCTGGTGTCAGTGGCTACTACCTTGGTACTGGCAACCCACTCGGCAAACTCCCCGCGCTCTTCCGCGGTGAAATTTGCGCGGTTCTCAGGGTTGACGTACTTGGTGAAGAGGCGGCCGGCCTCGGAGTTGGCCCGATCGGCCAAGGCGGTGGCAGCACGAAGGTGCGCGAAGAAGTTACCATAGGTTTGCAAGATGTAGAATTCATCCTCGGCTTTGTCTTTGTTCTATGAAAGAGTTAGACAGCTGATTCAACACCTCGGAATATGAGAACTTACGTCGCCACCATATGGCCAGGGTCGAGTATATTTGCGAGTATACTCCTTCGCAAATTCAAGGGCGCCCCAGGCAATGCCAATATAGAAGTTAGCAAAGGTAAGTTGAACGCTATCTTGAATATCAGCATGTAGTTGTAATCTCTAAAAATATATGAAACTCACAGTGGAAGGAACAAGCTAGCAAGGGGCACGCCAAGGATAGCGGGATCGGGCTTCTTCGTCTGAGGATCCCATCCGAGAGCGTCGGACCATTCAACAGCCACGTTCTTGATCTCAACACCACCTGACTCGGTCAAACGCAGGCCAACATTGTCCCAGTTATGTTTGAACTGTATTCCGGCTTGATTCGTGGGTACTACCGCAAAAATGTGGTCACTGGTATCGGCAACAACACCCTCGAGCACTGTTAGGTCTGATATGACACCACCAGTACTAAAGTTCTTAAATCCGTCAAAGATGAGCTTGTCACCTTCAGGTTTGATAGTCAGATCATTGTCTCGTGGGTTAACAGCGCCGCCGACGAAGTAGTTGTTGCTAATGATTTCCTTCTGGACTCTTTCGGCTTGCTCCTTGGAGCCAAACACATCCGCGATTTGAGACCAGACAAGGTGGTATCCAAGTAGCATACCAACCGACCTTAAGAGAATGTTAATAGGTGTTTATTCTCAGGATTTCATTAAATAATTAACTTACCCGTCTCCTTTGGCCACCTCGCGGACCAGTCGGTACCCAACAGCGCGAGACTGCCCACCGCCGCCATACTCGGCAGGACCAAGTGCCTTGAGCAAGCCCGAATGCTTCAATAGGGCCACTTCGGCCTTGGGCGATTTGTTCTCTTTTTCTCTGGCAGCAGCGTCAGGCTTCAAGGCGTCGGCAACGTCTTTCGCTCGCTGAATCCACTCCTCCTCATCCTTGGGCAGTGCCGACCATTTCGCTTCATACTCGGCATATACAGCGGGATCCGAGCTTGCGAAGGATTCCGAAGCCATTTCGAGACGAATGATAAGTAATATCTATAGATTGATTTTCAATGTTCAGGAAGTGCAGAATCTAGACCTCTAGTAGCGAGGGAATGAGTTTGCAGCACGCTCGTTATACTGCCGGGGAGTGGGAGAGTTATATATGGCCTCCCCACCGGTGACATTACGTTTTCGCAATAACTGATGCACATCTTATTACTTATCTCGACTTCTGCGCATCCTCGGTGAGTCGCTCAGACGGAAGCAATGACATTGGATGTTGATGACGAGCTCGCCTGGAAATCGGGAGGGGCAAGCTAATGCGTCAGAGCCACCGGCAAGCACGCGATCGAGATTACCCCCTTTTGGAAATAGATTACGGAGTGAGATGGTGTTTCTATTATGCGCTTCTGTATTCATTACGGAAAGCTTTTTGAATTGATCATTCCATGTGGGTTTGTAGGGAAAATGAACATTTACTAACAGCGAATGTGCAAGAGCTTGGTCCCAAAACTATTAATATATTTATGTGCATAAACACGAATATCGGAGAACGGAATGGAGAAAGCAGGGTTCAAATAGGAGAAAATTACTCTGTCTTTTCCCTGATCTTCAATAGAGAAAACACAAAGGGAACAAAGATCAGAAGAGGATTTCAGGGCTACAAGGTGCTAGCAGCTTTTAGAGCTCTCTAGGAATCCAAAAACCCATTCAAGCTGGTCCATGGCTCTTCTGAAGGCTTAGACTGGTAATCCAATAATTTCCCAGCTTCACCCAACTATAGTCTAAGCTCTAATGAGGCGGCGTATTGACAAAAGAGTTAGGTTGGGTTTATATTTGCGTAGATGTGTGTGCAGAGGTGAAAGGAAGTGAATCGACCCTAAAGGAAATTGTAAAATCAATCCATGGAATTCACCCTTGACAACAGGTAATGGAAATCCGTCGTGAGCTTATATCAATTGGAAAAGTAATAAAATCATTTATTGGTAAAAAGCGACGGTTCTGCCTAGAAAGAAACGACCTTCCATCTTATTAATCCATGAGAGATGTCAACATGAGAACTCCCAGTCATCAAATGCAGACTTGTAAGTAGAGATTATCTCCGTATCGGTCAACCTTATCCGTCTAAAACAAGAAATTTTTATTAAGAACTACAGTTCAGTCCATCAGTCCAGTAACTAGTACTGATTCCAGAGGGATTTTATCAAATCCTACGGAATCCCAGCCACTCCGAGCTCATTACAGTTACGAGAACTTGGAACAAACCTCCGGAAGCTCCCGCTGCAACTGATTCCCTGTTCAAGTATTTATGGAGGATTTTCGTGATACTTTCCGCCATTCCGAGCCATTTAAAGACTAATGTCATGTAATGAGGCTATGAACGAACAAATGACTTGATCAGAGCGGCCAAAATAAGTACAAATCAGTCCTGGCCGGATCTCCAGCCGAGGTTCCAGCCGAGATTCCAGCCGGTCTTTCGAAGAAAAAGGGCCATCTTAACATTAAGCATTGTCTGCTTTTGTTGAAAAGCCAAAAGAAAGATGAAAGAACTGGCCTGCCGACCTCACACCTTCTCGGCATGACGTTTGAGGAGATCCGAAAGGCGAACACCCCGAGGTCGGCAGGATGTAAGACATGCCGTGACCGGGGGCACCATGTGACCGACGAACCTTGGTCGATCTCGTCGTTGCAATTGGCTGGGACAAGACGAGAACTGGGGCCTTCCGCATGGGCCAATCGAATTCCCCCGCGATGGTTCGAGAGAAAAATTGCCTTTTAGATCTCCATCATCTCCAAGTTTTTGTCGATGGTGTTTTTGGACTGGGGAAAAGACGATAGATAAGCCGTGAGAGCTTTATGCTACCATCGATAGGTTGACTAGGATCAGACGTCTTCGCCTTTCTCGTAGACTCATTTCACAAAGATGTATCAAGAATTAATAATGGTGCAGTTCCCCCCGCAGCTGACGGGAAGGGAGGGGAACAGTCAGTTTTCCGGTCACGCAATGAATCAGTGCAGGGGTCGCACCTTTATTATTCTGCGATTTTTTTCTTCGGGATGCTCGTTACTTCCTCTGTCCTTCTTTCTGGTTGTAAGAGTGACAAGAGTTGATTTGATAATTACTCCATAAGCCCTCTTGTGGTGCTACAGATCCCACTGTGAAAAATGGCACCCTCGCCCAAGCAGACAGAAAGGTCGCCACTCCTCGTAACCGTGACCGAGAACGATGATCCCGAACGAAATGCAAATGATGCCATCCAAGAGAGCCGTGAGAGCTCCCAGGGCGAAAAGAAGACCCCGAACATGCTAATCATCTTTCCCGCCATCACCATAGGTGTACGTGATGAAGCCTAACCACCACCGTCTGACAAATCCATCCATCACGGGGGGCTAATCCATCTCCGCAGATCTTCCTCGCCGCAGCAGACAGCACAATTGCCCTGGTCAGCTACGCGACCATCTCAAGCGAGCTGGATGCTCTGAATCTGGCATCATGGATCATGACCGCCTACGCCCTCACGCTCGCCTCAATCCAGCCGCTCTACGGCAAGCTGTGTGACATATTCGGCCGGAAAGAGTGCCTCCTGGCCGCCTACGTGCTCTTCGCTCTCGGGTGCCTAGTCTGCGGCTTCGCACGCTCGATTGAGGAGCTGATTGCCGCCCGCGTGCTCCAGGCAGCGGGTGGTGCTGGTCTGGGCACCGTCGTCTCCATCCTGCTGACCGGCCTGGTGCCGCTCGAAGACCGCGGCGTCTGGCAGGCCGTCGTGAGCGTGGTGTACTCGCTCGGGGCGGGCCTGGGCGCCCCCCTCGGAGGCCTGTTGACCGCGTCCGTGGGCTGGCGATGGGCATTTTTCGGGCAAGTTCCCCTTTGTGTGATTGCCATTGCGGTGATCAGCGTCTGCCTCGATGGCGACATTGGCCGCCCCGTGGACTCTGGGGAGAGGGGTGCCGAGGATATGCTGGCCAAGCTGAGAAGGGTTGATTTTCTCGGCTCGATCAGCCTGATCGTCATGATTGCGTCCTTCATGTTTGGGCTGGACCGGGGAAGCAACGTCTCGTGGGCTGTGCCAGAGACATATGGGTCGTTTCTCCTCTCGGGTCTCGCTGCTCTTTGGTTCTTCTATGTTGAGATGCGCGTCGCTCGGGAGCCAATCCTGCCCATTGCATCTACGTTTAGCGCCGAGCTCCTCCCCATTTACTCGTCGGCCTTCCTTGTCTTCTTTGCCATTGTTGCGCTGGATTTCGTGCTGCCGCTGTACTACCAGGTCAAGGACCAGCTTGGCCCTCAGCAAGCGTCCCTCTACATGCTGCCGGCCATTGTGGGAGGCGTCGTGAGCTCCGTGCTGACTGGCTTTTGGATGCGGCACACAGGGCAGTACTACTGGGCGTTGATGCTCGTCTCAGTGCTGCAAATCACCGGAGGCATTTTCGCCTATCTTTGGTCTGGGCCCGCCGGCGAGTCTACGTCAGGTCTAATCATCGCTCAAGCTGTGGCCGAGTTTGGAATAGGGAACTCGGTCGTTTCTGGACTCATTGCTCTCAGTAAGTTGGACATATCCCGGCCAAATCTAGACTACGAGACAGGGGACATCTCATTTAACAAGCTTGCAGTATCTAATGGCCCATCTACTAATATTGCCGTCATGACGGCCATGTACTTTGCCTTCCGGAACCTCGGGTCAGTTCTGGGCGTCTCAGTCGTGTCCACGGTCATCCAGCAGACTCTCCGCGACATCTTGACCGTGGAGCTCCAAAAGTACGACAATCTCGACGTCGGTAAGATTGTGGACGAGGTCAGGAAGAGCCTCGAGTCGCTCCAGACTCTAGATCCCGAGATTGCGGCTCTTGTCCGGCGCAGCTACGGGCAGGCAATGAACAAGGGATTTTTGCTGATACTTGTCGTCTCTGTTGCCGCTGCAATCCCGGCATTGAAAATACGCGGCGGGAAGAAGAGGAGAAGCCCTTGATGAGGGAGGAGGTGTCACTCCGACTGCCTAGGGTCATTAGACTCGAGACCTGCATATTGTCGCAATTACTACACAAGATACTTTGTTGGTAGAGTTTGTGTGGTGGGATCCACCTCAAGAGCGTGTTTGAGAACAATCAAAACATCTAGTAATAATCATGATGTAAAGAGACGAGTGGCCCACGCGGCTAAGTTGCAGGACACGACAGTAAAAGCCATTTGATATCCAGTTATTTAAATAGGACAATCCGCAGTTGACGGAAACATTGCACTTGGGTAGAGGATGAAGGTAAGAAGTGATATTTCTGCTCTAGGGTAGGTGTGGTAATGGTGTGAGTTGATCATCAGTGAGACATTATTGTTGTAATCGTGCAGGTACTTTTGTGTCGATGCCACCATCAGCTACTTTGAGTTCAGGCCCCAAATGCAAGACCAGTCAGAATCGGCGATTAATAATGTGATGACGCGCCTATTGTGAGTCTTAGTCGGTGAGAGATTTTATTGTTTGAATTTTTCTTTCTTGAATTTTCTTTTTCATTGAACGGTGAAGGGGGTGTGGAGCTGAGCCAGTGGCCACGGCGGTGCGCGTGTGGCTTGCGAGACAGCGAGACAATGCGCTAAAACCACGCAGAGGGGAAAGGATGAGCGCATCCACAGAAGCAGGGCAGAGCAGAACAGAGCGAAACCGGCCGGCAACTGCCAGAGCGACCGTGAATGGAGAGACAGAGCCAACAAACAAAAAACAAAGTGCTTTGGGGACTAAATTAGTGACCAGGAACGGCGCGGAAAGAGTCAGCCACGGATCGGCTGGGGGCCGGGACAAGAGCGAAAATCCTTTTTGGCTCAGACGGCTTGTCCCTTTTGGTTGCGGCTGGTACCTGTACCGGCGCACGGGTGCCCAGCATGTGACAGCGGGCAGCGTTGGCAGGCAGCCAGTACGTACCGCTACGTACCCGCGACAATGCAGGAACAAACCTAAACAAGGGCCGCTGGGCGACGGGGAGCCGGTTGCTAAATTTAACAGGGTTAGCTCCTGCAAGCTCTTCCACGGCAGCCAACGGGCACGCGCCGTTTGGTTAGTCAGCCAGCCGGCGTGTCAGCCACTGTCTCGGCCCAGCGCCTGGCAGGGATCACTCACGAGTCACAGTGACATTGTGCCTGGTTCAGGCACCGATGCAACGTGCTCCCTTGCAGCACCCACGGCAAGTACCTGTCCCAAGGCGGCCTGTCCCTCGACCCATGTCGTGTCGTGGCAGGCACAAGGAAGGCACGAGGAAGGCTCCCTCCTGCTGGTTCCCCGGTGGTGGCCCCATTATATAGCAGCCTCTGACACCCCCCGCAAACATGAATCTGATCCTCGTTCCTCCATCAAGCCTTCGTTGATTGATTGCGACAAACGACACCGCGTGTCATCCTTTCCTTTCCAGCTCTCGCAAGCCTCGACTTTGTGGCAGGCCACTCTCTTTCTGCACCAAATCGGCTGCGCCAGATCCCGTCTTTCGACATCACTCTCGTCACCGCACTGCAACACTGCACCACTGCTCTCTCCAGAGCAACGACGCCCCGGCCGACACATTGGCCTCATCGCAATCAATCGCTTTCCTAAGCACGCTCTTTGCTTCGCTTTGGCCCAAGTTTCCGACTCGGATCGCCAGATCAAACCAATCCAGACACTCGTCTAACCCGTCTTCCCATCACTCATTCTTTGGGAATATCCACTCGAGACCAGCATCGCCAACATGCTTCCCTCGACTTCAATTGTTTCCATCCTTGCGCTTGCCGCTGGCGCGGTAGCCAAGGGTGTTTCCATTACTCCCCACGACAAGTACTCGTCCTCGGTCGGTGTTCTCGGCTGCAAGATCGACACCAACCGCGTCGCCTACTGGCCCGGATCCGTTGACTGCAACAACATCTGCGTCAAGCTCAGCTACGAGGGCCGCTCCGTCCACCTCCTGCGCATCGACCAGTCCGGCGGCGCCTACGACGTCAGCTACGACGCCTGGGTCTACCTCCAGTCCGGCAAGTCTGCCAAGTCGAACCCGCTCAATGGCGGCGGTGTCAACGTCGAGGTTGAGGAGGTCGATGCCTCCGAGTGCGCCAGCCTGATCAAGACCGAAGACCACAAGCTCCCCCTGAGCGCCTCCAACAGCATCAACTTCCTCACCAGCTGCCTCGCCCAGCCCAACAGCTGGGTCGCCAAGAACTACGCCCTCTACAACATCTGCGATGCCATCTGCACCCTGGGCTTCGACGAGTCGTGCAAGCTTGACCTGGACGTCAGCAACCAGCCCAGCTGCAAGAACACTCTTGGCCTCACCACCAAGCTCTCTCTCTCCAGCCCTGTTGTGGACATCCAGTACGGTACTGGCAAGACAGTCCTCGCCGGGACAGGCGGCGATGGTACTGTTGTTGACATTCCCGACACCACCAACAACAGCCCTGCTTCGTCGTCGTCTTCATCTTCATCTTCATCTTCTACTTCTACTTCTTCTTCCACCTCTACAAGCCAGGCCGCGCCCACCCGTGTTGCTGCGCCCACCACTGTCGTCGAGCAGAAGCCAACCACCACTGCCGGAGGTGTCTTCCACGAAGTTCCCAGCAGTGCTTCATCCGCTGAGGCTGCCACCACGGTCGCAGCTCCCGCCTCCAGCCAGTCTGCCCCTGCTACGTCGGCTGCACCAAGCTCGTCGGCTCAGGTTGCGTCCTCGGTGCCCTCGCTCACCGTTTCGTCGAGCGTGATCGCCCCCAGCTCTGGCCTGACCAACACCTCAACCCCCAGCACGACATTGTCTTCTGTCACCGTCTCCACGGCGGCCAGCACTCCTTCCGCGTCGTCCACCACTGTTCCAGTCAGTGCTGGACGCCGTGGAATTGAGATGTCACTGGTGGCCCTCGTCTCCAGCGTGGTTGCATGCTCACTTGTGGGCCTTTTTTAGAGTAGACTCTTTTTTTTACCTTTTGGTAGTCTACCAATTTTTTTACGACTGATGAAAAAAGGCTGGCTTTGTTTTTCACCGGATTAGTGCTCCATGTAGAGCCTTTTCTTCTTTTTTACTTTTTCTTATATTGTTTATATTTATCTTTGATACCAGGACAAAAGAATTTTTGGATTTGAATTGAATAGAATGGAAATTGATCTCAAAACAATCATTGTTGTGTGCCCACTACCCACTACCCAGTTGCCGTGACAGTGTGTGGCGACAGAGATGGACAGTGCGTGATTTCGCCCGTAGATTTTGTCTTCCGACCCTTGTCAGCTGAAGTACCACGAGCCAATTCGCAATTTTGCGGCCTTTTCGCTGTTTGGGCTGCTGTGCCGTGTCAGCCTGCGCCCAGCCGCACGACGCACCTACTCATCACTGCTATAATTGTGTCCCCGTTGTTGGCAGCGATTGATTCCGCTCACCTTGGGGGTTAGCCCATCCTACGGGAATCAGAGTGGTATTCGTGAGTTACATGCCGACCTACAGCGGTTCCATCATGCATCGTCTTTAACATGCTGCCTTGCCATGCGGAGGATAGATAGCAGGGCAAAGGTCGATCCGGGGGCGACAGGCCAGGATGGATGGTTCAATCATACATCATACATGCGGCCAAGACAGTCGCATGAACTTTGCTGCCGTCGTGTATGCAGCCTGAATGCGCACAGAGGCCACTCGGGGGGTTTATGCGCCCGGCCTGTCTCATGTTCTGCTGCAGTGTTGGTAGGACAGGACGCTGCATGCCGGCCGCGGCCAACAGCGTCCCCTCTTCTTCCCCCCTTGGCTGACATAATTGAACTGTGCCAGTGTGAAATGAGCGTTTGCCGCTTGGGTAACGGAGCACTGTTTCGTTATGTTTACGTGGTTCGAATCAAGGCACGGAGAGAGAGCTGTTAACGGAGCGATCGTCCACTGTAATTTCGTTCGCCCAGGGAGGTCACAGGCTTGAGAGCACAGGCCCCTCTGGGTGTTTACAGGGGCTGGTTCCGGCAGCAGGGCACTGGGCCAACAGGGGAGTTTAGGCCCTGCTGGTGGTTTCACAGTTTCACGTGCCACTGATCTGCCAGCACCGCTGGTTCATCATGCATTGACAGCTGTCAATTGATTATGACATGGATGGTTTCTGATCATTTGGTCTCTATCTCAGCTCCCCGCTCATTCTATCCATTCTATCCCTCGTAGAGGTTGGCGCTGCGCCGGTTGTTGTACTCCCAGGCTGTCACGTCTCCATACCGGCAGGGGTTGGCCTCCGTAACAAACTGCTTCAGTGGGAGCAGTGATGTCTTCCTGTCTGCCTTGGCAAAGTAGGCCATGGAGTAGCGCTCTGGTATAATCTCATCGCTGTTCTTGTCTACACCTGGGGGATACGTGACTCGATGGCGGCCGGCCTTGACGGTGTCGTTGGTCAGGCGCTGGAGAGAGTCGCCGACGATCAGGATGAGGTCTGTGAGGTTGGACGACCCTACGTCTCGGAACGTGCCGGGCTCAGCCGGGTCCTCGACCTGCAGGCCGCTGACGGCGTCCTGGAATATGAGGGTGATGGTTCCAAAGTCGGTGTGCTCGGCGCACCGCGTTGCTGTCCCGTCGCGCAGCTCTGAGGCGGGGATGGCTGGGTAGTGCAGCAGACGGAACTCGTTCTCAACGCGGCCGTGGATGGAGTGGAGATGGGATTGGTCAATGCCGAGGGCAATGGCTAATGCCGAGAGGACATGGCGCTGGGTCTCCCATAACTTATGGAAGAGGCCATCTATCTCGACCTGGAAGTTGGGGAGATCTTCCTCGGGGACCTCGATATTTTCGACAAGGTCATCAACATTAGCACCAAAATCAATAGACTCCTGTTGGAGCCGGCAGCACAGTGTTAGCTCGCGATTTTCCTTCTCCAGGACTGAGGTAAGGGAGGCCAACCTTGATATCGCGCGTGTTCGCAGCAGCCCCCAGACCCTTGTTGTAGCCACTGATGTTGCCAACATTCTCCTGGCCGACGTAGCTGTAGCCGCGGTTGGGAGTGGCCTGGGCA